TTTTACTTTTCAAATTTCTTTGGCATGTTCTGCTTTCTTCATTCAGCATTCACATTTTCAGTTTCTTTTTAATCCTCTTTCTCTTCTTTCTGCCTCCTTCTGTTTCATGTATTCTTCAGCCAATTTACTGCTTATTGTTAATTTTTCAAATTTCTTCAGCATCTTCTGCTACATTTATTCTGCAGAATGCATTCTCACGTGCTGTTTCACAGAAACAGCAATTTTTCTAGTTAGAATTTAAATCTGAATATTGACCACGCCACTCCAAAAAATTTTCATTTTTTAGTGGGTTTTGTAAGCCATTCAGAGGCGATCTTGCTGTTGTGCTTTGGATCATTGTCCTGCTGCAGAACCCAAGTAATTTATGGTCGGACATTCCCCAAGATTTTCTAGTAGAGCATAGATGGCTCATTGGTTCCTTCAGTTACAACAAATGGTCCAGGTTCTGAAGCAGAGACGCAGCCCTAGACCATCACCACCATATTTGAATGTTGGTTTAGTGTTCTTTTTTTGAGAAACTGCTTTATGACAGATGTAATATTATGCACGCCTTCCCAAAAAAATCCACTTAAGTCTCATCAGTCCACAGAATATTTTCCCCAAATGTTTTTTGGGCAATGTTTACCTATTCTCCTTCTTGGTGTTGAATTCTGAACATTAATTTTACACAAATGAGGTTTGACGTTGTTCCATGTTCTTTTGTGACCTCCTTGACGAGATGTCAGTTATTTTGGTAGTGGGGGAACTCCTGGGAAATTTTTTTTTTTTTTGACAATGACTCAGAGATGTTTTAGCCTCCTTTATGTTGTCAGACAGGATGCATCGAAGTTTTTTATTGATAGTGACTCTCACTGTTCATTCATCTTCTATACTGCTTATTCCATAGTGGTACACGGAGGAACTGGTGCTTATCTCCAGCAGTCTACAGGCAAGAGGCGGGGTACACCCTGGACAGGTCGCCAGTCCATCGCAGGGCAACACAGAGACTATTAATTGGACTGTGGGAGGAAGCCAGAGTACCCGGTGAGAACCCACGCATGCACGGGGAGAATATGCAAACTCCATGCAGAAAAACCCCCGGCCGGGAGTCGAACCCAGGATTTGCTTGTTTTCTTGCTGCAAGGCAACAGTGCTACCAACTGCCCCACCGTGCAGACTCTCACTGTGTTTTGCTAGAATCCAAAAACCTTGGAAATAGCTTTCAGACTGATAAATACCAAAAACTTGGTGTCTCATCTGTGTTGCCTTTTGAGATATTTTAGCCTCCTTTTTGTTGTCAGATAGAATGTATTGAAGTTATTAATTGATTCTCTATGTTTGGCAGTCATGCACGGGTCTGACTGGTGAAATTACCCTCAGCTTTCTTAAAACTGTGGTTGATTACAGTTAACTGATAGTTTAACAAGGGGGCAAATGCTTTTTCATATAGGGCCGGGTTTTTTGGAAAGCCTTTTCCCCTCTATGAATGTAATCATTTGAAGATGACTTAATTTTTCTCAGGGTATCTTTGACATTAAACTTTGTTAGATTTGAATCCTTTGTGTGACAAAAAAAAGAAAAACAGAAGAAATATGTAAGAGGAAAGACTCAGTAGCTACTGATGAGGACCATTTTAAGATTACAAGGTCTAGCTCCATGGAAGTGAATCTATGTATGTATGTGAAATACAACAAGAAAATGATGATTCAAGAATTTAGCCAAGTATTGTATTTCTGATTTAATACATGATCATCTGCGATGGACTGGCGACCTGTCCAGGGTGAACCCCGCCTCCCACCCATAGACTGCTGGAGATAGGCACCAGCTTCCCCGCGACCCACTATGGAATAAGGGGTAGAAAATGACGGACTGATGACTGACTACATGATCGTCTGTTTTGTTCTTCAGGAACATATTTTCTTGAACGTTGTACATACAAGTCTGTTTATACATTTTAAATTAATTCTTACTATTGAATAGGTTACCAAGCAAAGTAATAGTGTACATGAAGGGAAGAAGTTCTTTAAACTTCTGAAAGCATATGTTAAGTCACAATGTTAAAAAGACGGTAGTATTCCAGCTATTTTCCTGCCAGCAGTAGGAATCTTGTCTAACCTGCAAGGGCCTTTTCTTATAGGAACTATTTCTTCTATTGAAATATATTGTAGCCTACAACAGCTGAAATTAATCTGACCTTAATCGAAGTCCTATAAGCCCACTCACACTAAGGATAAGATGGCTCATTGGTGGGACTGAAATAGGTATTTCACGTCTTGCCCTTTTAAACAGCCTTGAGAGGGAGGGAGAAGGGAGCTGCACTTCTTGTGAAAGGAAGCCTGCTGCAGCAACAGCAGGGGAGGAGGATGCTCCCTCTCTTCCTCTCTATTCCCTGCAGCTGATTGATGCTGGCAGCCTTTTACCTTTTAGTTCACCAACTCAGTGCAAGGCTCAGCTTTGTCACTGGGAGCTGCACCAATCTCCGGTCTGCTGCTGGGTGCTGAGAGCAGCTCAGCAGACACTGGCGACATTTACCTAGTCCCTCAACCTCAATAATAAAAATAACACACCAGACAGACGGAAAGAGAAAGCGTTTTGGTCAGAGACGCCAAGGTAAAGTCCTTGTAGACGACGGCTAGTGAGTCGAGGTTCCCAGTCTGTGCTACACCTGATTTCTGTCCTCCTGGCTGCCAGTATGACATGCAATTTTAAAGTGTTTCCAAAGGATATGTGTTTTATATATCAGTCAAAACAATAAAGACAACAGACTATCAATCACTTTATTGCATTTTTACCCATGTCACCTTACCATTGTTAACTCATTTAATAATAATTCCTGTCCATTTTGTATTTTTTACAACTTTTACACAAAATACTACACAGTAAAAGATCTGATCATAGTTAAAAAAATGCACAATCTTCTGTTGGTTTTTTTTTAAAGCAAAACGAGCTGTAGCCTGATTTCCAGGGGGAATTAGGTTTTTATCTAGAATGTATTATTAAATTCTTCCTCTTTGTACATTCACTGAATTCCTTTTCTCTAAGACAAACACATACTGGCTAAATAATCTGTGATTTCTGGAATAACAGCAGGAAACTATTCCAGCAATTCACTGTGACAGTAAAATAACAGCCAATCTGTAAATGTCAGTGAAACGTCTGAGTGTCACAGATACCGACTGAAATCCCAAAGATTAGTGTCGCAGCTCACAAGTCTGCTTTTTATGAATGATGAACCGTGACTTTAAAAATGTGTTTCTGTGAGATTTCTGCCTAAATTGAGGATATTTAGTGGATATATAATAGAGGATGCTTATTTTCTTATGAAGCTGTCAGTTCAATTTGCAGAACTTGAACGGTTAAACAATGCATAACTTTTTATAACAGAGACACAGATGTATATAAGGAGATTTACTTTTTAGCTGTGCACATTTCTAAGAAGTGTTAATGATTCAAGAACAGCATGGGTCAATAATAGTTTGACTGCTTGGAAACACAGTCTGTTCATGATGTGTTCAGGTGGTAACCAAGCAATGACGGTCTGTGCTGTGATGGTGTGTTACATAATGTGTGCTTTACGTTAGCCGTTTATGACAAGACACTTGTCATGATTTAATAAAACAGTGAAGTGTTTACTCTGGAACCAGGACAAATAAGGAGATTAAAGAGTTTTGGAAAGGCATTAGAAGATATAAAAGGGTTATTTTTACATTTCCAAGTCTCTGATTGTCAACTATCAGACACCCACTGAGAAGATGTTCATAATATGTCTGTCTTTAGAATAAACCCAGGTCAGAAAAGAGCCAGAGTTTGTTTTTAATGTTTATATTTGATGTATGTCACTGACAACCCTCAATGTCTTACACATTTGTTGTTTTCTGACTACAAACAGTGAAATAACAAAACATGAATTTAAACACATCAATATACAGTGCTGTGAAAAAAAATGCTTGCCCTATACGGATTTATTCAGTTTTTTTGCTTTTTTGTCACACTTAAATGTTTCATATTATCACACTGATTTAATGCTGGATAAAGATGACCTCGGTAAATACAAAAAGCAGTTATCATGTGATGATTTAATTCATTAAGGGAAAAAAGCTATCCAAACCAACCCGGCACTGTGTTAAAAAGTAATTGCCCCCTAAACCTAATAAAAAGTTGTGCCGCACTAACAACTGACATCAAGAGTTTGTAATATTCAGTCTTTAACATCACCCCTGAGGAGTTTTGGCTTACTCTCCTCTGCTGAAATGTTTTAATTCACACATTTTGGGGGGTTTTAATATGAACTTCATGCTTAAGGTCATTTTACAGTATCTGAATTGGAGTCCAGACTTTGGCTAAAACCTTTTTTGTCATTCAGAGGTCATCTCCTGTGCCTTTGGATCATTGTCCTGCTGCATAACCAAAGTATGATTGGGCGTAAGGTCATTAACTGATGGCTGGACATTCTCCTTCAGGATTTTCTGGTAGAGAGCAAAATTATATTTTTCAACAGGTATGGCAAGTCATCCAGGACTTGAGGAAGTAAAGCAGCTCCTTACCCTCACACTACCATCACAATGTTTTACTGTCAGCATGATGGTCTGTTTATGGGCAGATGTAACAAGACACACACCTTCCAAAAAGATCCACTTTTGTCTCATCAGTCCACAGAATTTTTTGCCTGAAGTCTTTGAAGTCATCAAGACACTTTTTGGTAGATGTGAAATGGGACTCCATGCTCTTTTTGGTTAGCAGTGATTTTCACCTTAGAGGTCTCCCATGGGGGCATTTTGCCCAGTCTCTCTGTCTTGCTGTTCTGGGTTGTTTTCTGACCTTCTGTGTAAATTGTTGATGTGCTCAAGGAGTGTCTGGCCTTTTCTGGGAAAGTTCACCACTTTTCTCCAGTTGTGTATTATGGCTCTAACTGTGGCTCTCTGTAGTCTGAAAGTCTTAGAAATGGTTTTGCAACTCCTTCCAGATTGATAGATCTTAATGACTGTTTTTTTTACTGTTCTTTTAATTTCTTTGTATGATCTGCTGCTTTTTGAGATATTTCAGCTCTCAGAGAGGGCTTATTTAAATGATTTATTCTACCCGTAGGAAAGAAAATAATGACGCCTGGGCTTAGCTTGAAAAATTGAGATTACCTTTTTAAAAAGTGTTGTTGAATGACAGTTTAGTCACGTTTCATGATTTAACAAGGGCAGGCAATTATTATTTTGCCAGGGGGCCAGGTTGGTTTGGATAGCTTTTAACCCTAATGAATGTCATCATCATTTGGAAACTGCTTTTCTGTATTTACTCAGGGTATCTTCATTTAATGTCAAAATTAGTTTGATAATATGAACAAGTTAGGTGTGAAAAAAAAAGAATAATTCTGTAAGGGGCAAGCACTTTAGTAGGTCCTTTGGACTGAAGGGTCACAGTTTGGGTCACATTTCATGTCTTAAGTTCTCATGATCTTCAATAAATAGTAGCATTTTGAGCTCTTAATGAACTGAAAATCCGGTGTTTAAGCTAATTCACTGTCGCATTAAAGCTAAGTGAGCATACATGCCAGGACTTGAGCAAGTGAGATGCCAAGATTAATGGTTCAGAAGACTGCTTTGGCTAAACACCAAGAAGTTGCCTTAAATAGTTTTTCCTGCTTTCTCATAACAAGAGATCTTTGAATGGTTGTGGGCTGAGAACATTTTTCAAAGAGAACATCTAACTGTTTTTTCCTATTCCTCTCTAAGATGTAGCCAGAGTCAACCTATATATTTTTTTTCTTTTTTGGTAAGCAATATTTATACAGTCAGAACCATGTCTTGAGGATTGTTTTAACACGTCCTGTCCAGCAGAGTAGCGCTCAGAATAGTTGTCTGAGTGCCAAGAAGAACCACAACAGATTTACTTTCACAAGTTGAGCATTACGGTTAACACTATAATGCTCTGCTTGATGTATATAAAAAACTTTAATGGAAATTGCTTTGGGATAATTTCAAATGCAAAGGAGATGGAAATGAAAGGTTGAAAAAAAGAAGAAAGGGAGAGGAGATAAGAATAGAGGAGAGAAAAAAGGATACAGAGAATACAAGATAAAACCCTAGAAGTTTTCTTCTACCCCTACAGAATTAGAGTCCCCCCAAAGTCCGGGGGTCCTGGGAGGACCACCAAGCAGCAACAATGCAGAAGCTCCAGGGAGCTG